AAAGAATAAACATCCATGTATCCTAACAGGTAGTTAAAGCATTTATCGACGAAATTTCAGTTTCAAAGCTTCAAAAGATTTTCGGAAAATCGTGTAATTCGATTGTCGTCCGCGATAATTGTCATTGGGGACAATTTACCGTAGTATTGCAGAATTCTCGGAACTCGTTTCACGCGAACTGAATCCGAATCCACGACCTCCCGGATGCTTCTGCAGGTCCCTTTTTCTGACGTGAACTTAATATTGGTAAACATAATGCGAGCATTCGAAGGTTGAAAGCGCGCGTACAGAAGAAGACCGCGCCGACTACTTCAGTTCGTGGAACCGGAATTCAATGCGGCTTCGAGTACGTTCGCATAAAGGTTATTCAGCTAAACGCAAGGTCATGGGTACATGTGACTTGGGTCAATCGACCGCGTAAAACAGGCGAACAGGATTCTTAAAAAACAAGAATGCCAGCCATAAAGACATCCAGATCTCACGTTCCCTTTTTTTACGGGCCGGCGGATATTCGTTTATGAATTATGCTACTGGAACTGCGTTGTTTTCGCGCGCGTATTTCGCCGAAGGTATGAACGTTTCAAGAGAAATCATTCAAAAATTGAATAGTATACTGAAAGTAATCGTTTAAATAATAACAATTTACTTGGAACATCAGAAGACAACGCATAAATTTGTTTCTTCATTCGCATCTTTTGTTATACAACCGAAGCCACTTTTAATTAACTGTAACGCGAAGCAGTCGAGGATTGCGTTTTCGATGTTTAGCAAGTAAAATATGCGACGGTTAAAATAAAAACAAGAACCGTAAATCGTTTTCGGGGGTTCTGCAACATTTTGTCGGCGGTTCGTGATTTTGATGAAAAAAAGAAAAATGCGGCCGCAAAATGAAGAAAACGAGAGAAAATCGAATGTAAAAGTGAACTTTCAGGTTTTAAATTGAGACCTGATTTTTTAATGGTAATCAGCGTCGGTATTTTAAGTCATGCGAGAGAGGATCGTTTATTACGGAGAATGCCCTGAGCGATTTAAAGAGTATAATGTGCTAGTTAGTATTCAATATTAACACGTCAATGTAACGACGATTTTATTAAGTATTAGTTGATTTTTATACAAGTTTTAAAATAATTACGATTCGATATTAAATCATTTGTTCCGATCAACCTTGTCCGAGTTGCCATACTTTCGTACATGATGGTTCTTGTGCGACTGGACATACAACTTCGATATTAAAAATTACAAATTCATGTTCTCCATTTGTTCTATTTACAAGCGCTAAACATGTTCGGTCTCGTCGCGATTAATAGCCAACAATTCCAATGGAAATAAAAATTCGTGGATCATTCACTAAATACTATCCTATACTGATGAGATCTTTAGTAGACGATTGTTATCCGATCATATTACATAATTCCGAATTCATCTGATTTTGGACGACGAGCAAAGGCGCAATTTAGAGATCGTGCCAGCAGACTTTGGGCAAACAAAGGACGTTCAAATCGTCTTCCTTCCTGTCTGTTCATCACACCTTTTGCAACCTCTTGAACAGGAGGTAGCGGAAAAGTCGAAACGATCATATCGGCTGAAAATGTTGGGCCGCTTAATCAACTTTCCGTTTAAAATGTTAAATTTAAAAGCAGTAAAAAGATTTTCAAAATATATGATTATATTAATCTCTAAAAAATCACTAAATTCGATTTACATTTTGTACATAATTAAATATTTAATTAGCTAATTTGTTCTTGAGATTTCCATATTTTTACGTTTCAGTTGGATACAATAGGTGCAAGAATTAAATTCGGAATTATAGGAATACAAATCCGGATAAAACACTATGTAGAAAGTAATGATCCTATTGTAAACTGTAAACACGATTGTAAAAAGATTTTCAAAATATATAATTATATTAATTTCTACAAAAATCACTAAATTCGATTTACATTTCATAATTAAATATTCAATTAGCTAATTTGTTCTTGAGATTTCCATATTTTTACGTTTCAGTTGGATACAATAGGTGCAAGAATTAAATTCGGAATTATAGCAATACAAATCCGGATAAAATACTATGTAGAAAATAATGATCCTATTGTAAACTGTAAACACGATCGTGTTCACGGACGTTCATTACTAAATCCCAAAATATGAACGACGTTATCCCCACCGCAGCAGTGCATGGAAATCAATAAGGCACTCAAGTACATGTCATTACCGGCGATAGACAAACAATTTTCCCGACAAAAATGAGGCAAATCAATCAAACAGAAACAGCTCACAGTTTGATCGGGAAAAACGCTATACTATATAACAATGCTAATCATGAAATGTTTACAATGTATAGTGAAATCAAACATTCTTTCATTCATACACACGCGCATCATACAAAATCTCTCGTCATTCCAGATATTTTCACGTTCATCCCGGCCATTGTTTCAGTCTCAGTTGTTGCTGATAGTGCTTTCGTAGTAGTTCTTCAAGTATTCGACTTGCAGCTGAATATACTGCGGTTGCTGTTTCGACCATTTCAGCAGAGTGTCGAATGCCTTCTTCATCACAAGCTCCGTGGGTACTTTAGTCTCGCCGTCGAATTCGTCTTCGTCCTTATCATCTTCGTCTTCGTAATCGTCGTCGTCGTTGCCTTTGGTCCCAACCCCGTCGTGCCTCGTAACGTTCTTCTCTGCTTCCTCGCATCGTGACAAAAATTCGTCGACAGTCTCATTGGGCTTTCGCTCTCCAGAGATTACGCTAATGATGTCCTGAAAGTTAGGTTCCAGAGGATCAACCGGCTCCTCCTTGATCGGACGAATGTCCGTGATTTTGTTGACAATTCGATCCCAGGCAGCTCGGACGTTCAACGCGCTCAGTTCTATCCACGTTTCGGCGAAAAGATCGATGCAGTCCTTCAGATCGTAATCGAAATAAAATTTCCGCACGTCACCGGGAAATTTCAGCACGCGGTTCAACATTTTCAGCCGATACGATCGTTTCGACTTCTCCGCCACCTCTTGTTCAAGAGGTTGCAAAAGGTGCGACGAACAGGCAGGTAGGAAGACGATTTGAACGTCCTCCGTTTGCCCGAAGTCTGCCGGCGCGATCTCTAAGTCGCGCCTCAGCTCGTCGTCCAAAAGCAGAACGACCTTCCCGTCGCTGTCGGGGTACTGGAGTATCATCACGGTCGGTTTGAATTGGTTCTCGAACCAGTCGAGAAACATTGCCCGGTCCATGCGAGCTTCCGGCTGGCCTTTGAACAGGACTGGCAAACGATCCATGCAGTGCTTCAACACTTTCGGATTCTCGTTGTTGTAAATAAATAATGGCTCCAGCTTCTGGCAACCGGACACGTTGCAGCACAGCGAGATGGTCACCCGATCCTGTTTGAATTTCCTGCTCCTGCTCTTCCTGCTCTTGCACTGCTCCAGAAGCGTCGCGGGAAAAGCCTTCCACGCTAGCGTGACGTTCTTCATGTAATAAATATTCTTGTTCGTAACTCCTTCTTGTCGCAGTCTCTCGGTGAGATTCTTTAAAAACTCCTCCGGATCATTCGCTTCGTTGATCCAGCTTCCATTTTGGTCCGCCTCCGCAGTTTCGTCCAGCATCACTTCCTCCTTCAGGCACAGCTCTTCCTTCACGAAGAATTCCGTATGGAGATTCGAATCTCCCGCTGGCTGCTCCGGCAGCTTCACGCAATGGCGCGCCTTGAAATTCGTCAGCCAACCGCGGCTCACCGTCGGTCCACCCAACTCCTTTTGCAGCTGCACCGCTTTTTCCCAAAGCAACGAGTCCGTGACCGACCTGCCGATCGCGTTTTGTTCCATGAACCACGAGTACAACCGGACGTCCACGTCCTCGACACTCGATTTCCGTGTATTACTCTCTTTCATCCCCGCGATGTCCCTCGCGGGCTGTCCGGCGGGCTGGTATACCGTCGCTGCGTTCCGCCTGATCCGTCTCGCTGTGCTGGGGTGAATATCGAACTCGCCGGCTATCCGGCCGATCGGCGCGCCCGTTTGCAGCCGCTGCACCAAGTCGAATCTCTCCTGCACCGACAGCACTAGTTCCTGGTCGATTTTAATGCCACTCGCCATTCTTTAATCGGGATATTTCAACGACTCAAACACCAACAACATTCCATGCCCATAGGCACGCGACGAGTGACGTTTCGCCTAGCTAACCGTGCACCACCTAGCTGCGGCTGACGGTACGTGTAACGAAACCGCGCGCACATGCGCCGCGCAGCGTCCAAAGATGGCGCCTTTTTCTCTCGCTCCGGCGAAAGATCACGCGCTTTTCTTTCGCTGGCAGTTTTTGAATTTAGCGTAGTTTTGTTTACGGGTTCAATGGGAATATATGGATTCAAGTATTGTCAATGGTTGTCTGCTGACTGGCGATCTTTTCGGTAAGTCCGGATAAGCTTCGATTTTCCAAATTGATCTTTAACCATTCACAATGTAAGACGATGCGGTGGATTTCAATAATGCTCTCTAGGTACGATGTTTTATTTCTCTACGATTATTATTGTCATTTTATATGTGTGTTTACTGTATACTTGGTGTACGAAACGGTCGCGCAGCGTTTAAAAATGGCGCATTTCTCGCTAGTTCTGGCGAGAAATCGCATCTTTTCTTTCGATGCTGGTTTTTAAACGTTTTATCTTTTAATTTAGTTTCGTTGATATATGCGGTGGAAATAAATAAGTTGACGCGTCAACGGTGCTTTCGATAATTGGCGACCCTTTATGGAAGATAGATTAAAGTATAAATGAACTGTTCAATGTTTCGCCAGTTTTAAATGTACATCCCAACGGCGTCCGACATTACTGACGCACTACGCCAATGGTAAGGTATCGCATTTCCTCCTATTAACGTTTATTGGTAATATTTTATATTGTATTAATTTATTTAACCGTTGAATATGCAGATGAAAGCGTAGGAAATATGGAAATAAAAGTGTAGACGCGAATGTTGCTCAGCTTGACTATTGCTGTAGTTGAAATATAGACGATCTGTATGGTATTTAAAAATTATTTAAAAATTGCTAGACTAATGAATCTTACTCCTGCACACTTCCAGGCCGCAGCTTGATCCGTTAATGAGGGCCCGTATAGAAATTTTCTATGCTCTAATTGCCTGACGATTCTGAGACAGGATTCACCTCGGATTGGATGCGAAGCTTAAGGAGTAAGCATGAAGTAGTAGGTCCCATTACTGTAATATGATATTCTTAAAGAATAGTCGCACGCCAATTATAAATAAATTTTAATGATTTGTACATTAAAAATAGTACAGGTTTTAAGAAGTAAAACTAAAACGTTTATCATCTATGTAAATGCTTAGCAATTGGTAATATCAGTCTTAAAAAATGTACACGCGCACCAGTTACCAATAAATTGTAGCGATTCGAAAAATGCACATTTTTCGTGTTCTTGTTCTTCGGCGATGACGTAATCGATCGAATACGATCAAGTGTCAAGTGTGCATTCCCGGCCTGGAGCAATGCGAGCCGAACGAATTTCTTCTGGATCTTCGGGATCCGCCATTGCAATTTACATTTAACGATGCAATAAAACGCCTGGAGGATTCAAAATTTCATAACTGGCCGGCTGCGAGCGAGCGCGCGCGCCCATATTTTCGTTATAAATTTCAGAAGTTATCAGCCTCTCCTTTGAAAAAACGTTGCAATAATTAGCCTTTCCCCGAAGACTCGACGGCCTACACTTAATCACGTTAACCGAATCGGCCCGGGCCCGGCGATTCGCGTACAATACCGGCCGCGTAATTTATTGAAAACGAGTGCGTGCAAATCGGCAGTTTGATTGCACGGAGAGATCACAGCGGCAGATCGTAATTTTCATTTTATTGGAGTACTGCCGCGATATCCTCTTGGATCGCGTTGCATTTTTGTAGCCGAGGGTCAATGAAGGCTTTAACCTTCGCGCACAGGCCGCCACGATGATTGCGATAGACGAAACGCGGGGGAATCGCGCGAGTAGTTTCACTGTAACGAGATAAAAACTTAATTAGACGGTTTCACGAAACGCGACTGCTCGTTATTATCGGTTGTCATACGTCAATCTATTTTTGAGGGGCCTGTTACTATTCGTGGAAGACCTGCCATTCATGGAGACTAGGCGATATTAGTGGACAGAGGTGCTCAATTTCTTTGGTATCATGTAAAACATTGATTTGGCGCCCAAATCCTGAAGCTTGTACTAAATTTCGAAATTTGAACATTTAGCGACTGAAAGTAGAGTTTGAAAAATTTAACTTTATCACAGTGAAAAGTTATCTCTAAACTTCTTTTATATTTTTGTCGAAATCACATTATTCAATCTGTTTACATTTTAGATAATAGTTTTTAGTTCGTGAGTCAACATAATTTTCTTAATTCAAGTGTGCCAGTACTTGCCAACTGTGGGAAAAGGTTCCGGAAGCAACGAATAACTTCGTCATTTTGTACAATTTTTACTTTTAAACGATTGAGAAACAAAGCTGAAATTTATATTGATATTCTTTTAAAAAGTCTAAATCTTCTATTTAATAATTATCTATAAACAAATATTCGTAAACTGTACATATTTCTTGACGCCTCAGGGTGGTATCCTCTTAAAGGTGCAATTTATCTTGGAAATGAACACTTGTTATCTGTTTCGTATCATTTGAAAGATCTACTGCTCGTCCTTTCTCAAACAAATCTTCCAAGCTTTTAGTTTGGTTGAAAATTTCTGTTGTTTTTACTCTGATTACAGCATCAAACACTTCAGATATATTTTTTTTTATTCGAGTTTCACTGAAAAGTGAAATCTTGAAATAAGTTTTGAAATCTTGAAAATGTTTTTAGAAGTTCTCGTTACTTTATGTTCTCCTTTAATTTCAAATTAAACAATAAATTACGATTAGACTGCGAATCTTTGTGCAGAATCAAAATTGTCCGAGTTAATTGTAAGAAACATAAATTAGCTGGAAATATCTTTCCTCTTTGAATTATTATAATAAGTTAAGGATAATGTAACAGTATCCTTCTCTAATGCTTCCACGATTTTGTATTTGATTTATTCATTTTTGTTATAAATGTATAAAATCCACGGTTTACTTATGATGAATGAGTAACAGTGCATTGAAATTAAAAAGATCCTCGGTCTATGAACATATTGGTCATCGTAGCTTTAATATGACGACCCAATAGCATTATTAGCAATATTATAGGCATTTTCATCAGAATCTTCATCTTAAAATTGTTAAAAACTTCGTTGCAGATGTTGAAGTCTACGATGTTGGGTCCTATGAAGAATGATCGAAGCTGTCGAGCGTTATTTGTCAAAAGGATCTACAAGAATCCACCGTAAGATTATACAAATTTGATAGCGCCATCAACTGGTCGAACTGAAATTACGATACACGTAAACTTAATTTAATCGATAGCTTCTACATAGTGTTCTTCTGCCTACATCGTTAAAGGCGAAGGTTCGAGCGGTCCCGCGCCCTGTATTTTACAAAAACGTTCCCGATAAGAAAAAGAATGGCGGTGTATGCGCTCGATCTACCGCCAGAAATTTTTCTCAGAAGTGTTTTGCACCGTACTTTTATCCCCATCGGAACCGCAAATCGTGGTATGCCGCACATTGTTATGCGTGCCACGACATACTGAGCGCAGCTTTCTTTCAAACCGGCCAGGAACTTTTCATCGTCAAATTTCAACTTGTTCTCCGTGCCCCTTCTTTTAATTCCCGTTCGAATCAGTGGGGAGCGGTAAATGACCAACGGAATGCTCGTCGGCTTCGTTTGACGCCGTTTCCGATAAGTCCATCGAAATCAAAATTCAATGCGAAGACGGAAGATTACTGTAAAGAGAGCTAATGGAATAATCGTCGTTGTCTGCATATGTAGTCTAAAAAAAATGTTTACTTATTTGCATACCTTGTAGTCGTTTTCATTGCGTACGTTGCTATCTGATTTCTGAAGTAAAACAGTCAATTAATATATAGGGTGTTTATTTTATCCTGCATATTGAAGCATCTCTGTTATCTTTGCTGTAAATAAAAAAGAAATGTGTCAGAATAACTTCGTTCAGTTCAGAGCTAAGAATATTTATGATACATGTTTTTACTCTCACAAGCTCATTTTTTTCAAATATTGAAGGTCATCGCTATTTTTTTATAAAATATTAACACCTATTTCTTATAACACAGCACTGTGGTGCACGTCAAGACGAATTCAACGATCTCTGTCACTGTGAACTTGAAATTATCTTTAAAAAGATTGGGTTAGTGTGCAGAAAATAGCGACGATCTTCAATACTTGAAAAAAATAACTCTAAGAGAATGTATAACACGAATCATAATATTCTTAACTATGAACTAAACAAAGTTGTCCCGACACATTCTTTGATACCAGCAAAAGTAACTAAGATATTTTAATATATAGAATAAAATAAACATCCTGCAGATCTATTGGAGTCGGTAGAATTTAGGATTAAAAATAAATACTCGATATAGAATGTAATATTGATTGAACAAATCTTTATTGACTTATGGCATGCTTAAGTGCAAGAAAGACTGTACATTAGCGGAGGCTGTCTACGTTATTATTTAATTTTGCGAAAAAGTTAGATCTAGTGAAATCTAGCGTGAAGGCAACGTCGGGTCTTAATTGGTGAACTATTATATGTATAAATTGAACGAACGGTTACTTCGCCCAGCAGATATCACGGTGATCGTTGTAATAAATATTTCCGCGGTTCGATGTTCTCGAACCGGAATTCTGCACCGGGCGTCGTACTTAAATGGTAAACGATACAATTTCTCAGCGGATGCCGCAACGAAATTCCCGGCGATCCTTGCAAGGCATCCGCGCATCCTGTTTGGAGGGGGAGAACCTTTGGCAATCGCGTACTGCCAAATTATAAGGGAACAAAAACAGTTGTCTGCGGGCGCCACCAGACGAGCTCTCCCTTTCTCTCTCTCTCTCTCTCTCTCTCTCTCTCTCTCTCTCTCTCTCTCT